AATTAATAATTAAGAGAAATATCAATAATATTAGGTTTTTTAACACTTACATTAGTAGAAAAGATGGCTGGGCACACGGGGATGGGGGGTTAGTTCCGAAGCAGAGGGCAGATTATTGGCCCTCACCTGTATCACTTGTATCACTATCCACCACAGAGGCTTGCAGGGCCTCTTTGTCAAACCCCTCAAAGTCCATATAGGTCCATATCCTCACTATCATTGACTTGGGCCGGCTGTGGTGGGTGGCGGATGAAGAACTCGGTAATGTTTTGATGACTGGGCGACCTCGCGCCGCTCTCCGCGTAAAAGGGTACACACACCGCGGAAAGTGGCCATTCCATGTTCGGCAGGGTGCCGTGTAAATGCGTAAAGTGGGACCGCGTAAAGCGAGGGTTGACTGTACTTGTATATAATTATTTTGACTTTTAAAATGTGATATAATTAATTTCCTCCCCATTCCTTTTCTAAATAATTTTTTCTGAATATTTAGGACACTATGAAACATTAGATCTATAGATCTATCAAACACTTCTTACCTTTCACTTGTATGGCTAATTTTTAAAATGCCAAAATGCAGCATATTTAATTTGTTGACCTATGAAACATACTGTACTGTTCTTACATTGCTGATAACTATGTAATTCTTAGTTACTGACATGGAACTGTGCTATGATGGCTCTGGACTAGTGTACAGTACTGTATTTCCAGTACATTAAAAGAATAATGCACTGGTAAATCTCAATTGCAAGTTTTATAAAAATAATAGTTCTCATAATCATTGATTTCACCTAAATAATTTTGTTTATATACAATATTTTACCTAACAATTTTTTTTTTATGGAAGTACTTTACAGCCTAAGTTAACCGTGTAAATGATACATAGGGTACCGCAGATACAGAAAGCTTACAGTACACAATTTAACACCAATGGTACTCATACAGTCCAGTGCAACAGAAATAGTATGTGTACTGTATTTACACATTTTCATATAAGTAAAAGTACTGTCCATCTTAAAATACTACAAAGAAATAATAAAAAATCATGGCAACACTGTTGATGAGCCATAATTGTTTTTAGCTCGGAGTATTGCTTCTCGTGGTCTTAAATGCAGCATAGTAAAGGTTCCAAAAATCCTGAGTGATAGAGATATTGTTTCTTTATAGAACAGCAGGTCATGATGATGGCCATAAAAGTTTGAAGCAAACTATTTAAGATACAGGTACCAGTAACCAGCAAAAAAAAATAGAATCCATGTTGAAGGAGTGATCAGTGCAACAGATGCTTAGCATCATTTTGACTGCATGACCACATTTATGTCTTCAAAATATGTAAATGCAGCTGCAGATACATGTTTATTACCATCCTCAGAAAAAAATACTGCCTTTTAACTTCCTTTTTTTGAGATACCAAGCAAGTACTGTATATTACATATTAAAAAGGTAAACGGAAATAGATGGTGTCACAATACTTGTACCAGTATTTTGAGATGCCTCAGAACAGCTATCTGTTTATGTAACACCACTTTATGTAAGTAAGTGAATTACACTATTCTCAAAACAAGACTTTTAGACTAATCTGCTGAAATAATCCATTAACCATGGTATTCAAAGATTCAGTCAGTTTTGGTTACGACCCTATTCCCCCTTTACTCAGAACCCTTGAAGCAAGTTTTATGGGTGGATGCCTTCCTATTGCATGATATGAAGGAATTCCAAGTGCCCTATTAGCTGGCAAGATAGGGTTGCAACTTCTTGCAAATTCAATCCCTTTGTTAATGACATCTTAGCTCTTCAGACATTTTTCCTGCCAACTGACATTAACCAGGACCCATAGACACCTCACTTCACACTATGGCCTGTATGCACTGCTTGTGGTAGAGTCAGGCATACCAATAGTAGTTGTGTGGGGGCATCCCTTAAGCTCATCGTTGAGTGATTGGAAACGGGTTTCTGGAGAGAAATATGTTCCTGAAATCTTCACATTCGATGTTACTACTGTAATATACATTCAATTACCTGTATCATTAAGTAATTAGGAAAACTTACCATAAGGGTGTTAATTCCAATAAAAATCTAACTATTGAAGGAGGTAGAGGTAGTTCTGATATTTTAGCCACAAAAAACCTTTATACTGTATGCAAGTATTGTACCCTGTATCACATGTTGAGTTTTGTGCAGAAGCTTTTAACGATAAATTTATCCACCAGTTTCACCAATTTATCAAACTAGAGATTTTGCAGTTTGAGTATACAGTACCTTGATGTCTTCAAAAATGCTTTCGTGTATAAATATGCCTCAATATCCTGTAATCGGTTCTATGTTTACAATCATTTCCAGTGGAGTAAATATCAAGAAAGTTGGTCTCTTCAGTATTTTTTAATTTTTATAATAATAATATTGGGCATTCTGAAATTTAGTTAACATATTGATAATAAATACAGTACAGTATAGTCTCGATTTACGCGGATTTCCTTTACACGTTTGGTCATTTACGCGGCACCTGGCCAGACCAGCAATTATTATTTACGCGGGAAGTGGCGCGGGCAGGGTGCGCATAACCGAGTTCTTCACCCACCACCCACCACAGCCAGCCCAAGTCAGTGATAGTGAGGATATGGACTTTGAGGGGTTTGACAAAGAGGCCCTGCAAGCCTCTGTAGTGGATAGTGATACAGGTGAGGGCCAATAAGCTGCCCTCTGCCTCGGAACCAACCCCCCATCCCCGTGTGCCTCAGCCATCTCTTTTACTAATGTAAGTGTTAAAAAACCTAATATTATTGATATTTCTCTTAAATATTAATTGTGTGTGCATACCATCATAAAATTAAGATGTTATTTTTACTACAACGTATGTATTGTGTCGGAAAAAGGGTAGTCTGGCGGTTGGCCTAGTCTCTATTTCAATTAATCCCATATGTTCTGTTATTTCGTTTACGCGGACCTCCATGGGTTTAATTGACCGCGCAAACCGCGACTATCCTGTACAGGGAACAATTTTTGTGTGCTCATCAGTTGATTGAATCGCCCGCCAACACTTTTTAGTTTAACTTTGTTTATAGTGGAGTAAACATAGAGTTTGTTGGTCTCTTGAATATTTTTGCATTTTTACTTTAAAATTATTGGTCATTCTGAAATTTAGTTAACATTGATAATATTACAGTGCACAAATTAAGAAATACAAAGAAAGCATTAGAACCAATGCACTCTGTAAAGAATATGGCATGTCATCATCGACTGCCTCTACAATCAGCTGATTGTAAATAAAGCCGCTGGGAATACAACATACACACCTCAAAGTAAGTAAAAATACAGTACTCTATTGTTTTTTTTGTTTTTTTTATTATTGTACAGTATACTGTACAGTACAGTACTGTATTTAGTTTATATTTAATGTTTTGTTAATTCTTTTACAGGTATATAGTACTTTGTATATACAGTATACTTTTTCTGTGAGTTGGAACCAATTACCCAATATCCCATTGAAATAATAGATTCAGTTAACGACTGACTCTGGAACCAATTGTGCTCGTTAATCGAGGGACCACTGTACTGTACATTGAAAACCATTCTCAAACATAAACTATTATCTTTTCATTGAACTGGTTATAATTATATTGCCAGTTAAATAGAAAATATATTGTAATTGTGTGCTCCACTGCATCTATCTGATTGCAAATTTGAAAGTTCTCTGAATACATGTGTGTGCTTTTCTAAAAAGTGTTTCTTTCATAAACTTATTTGTATATGTTTTGACTGGTCATAGTGTACAGTATAACTTATGTAGTCCAGGTATCCCTTGTTATATGTTTTTCACAATACGATTTTTTTAGGTACTGTACTGTATACAGTATATAATTTTTGTTTTTATACTATATACAACAGTATAAAATTTGTTTTTATATACTGTACAGTATATAATAATACAATATTGGGGTTTTCTTGTCATTGGCAAGCAAACTTTATTTTTCCATATACAGTATAGTCTGGATTTACTCGGTTTTTGTTTACGCGTTTGGTCATTTACGCGGTGCCTTGCCAGAATGAAAATGCTTTAATTACGGGGTAAATTTGGTTATTCACGCGGCGAGCGGCTGGAGAGGTCCAGACCGCAGCGCCATTTTTTACCCACACGGTCCATTCTTGAACATACGCGGGAAGCGGCGCGGTGAGTGGTGCACATTAGGCCGCTCTTACGTTATCGCTGACGTGATATGATGTATCGGACTGTGATTGGGCCATGCATCCTTACCACCCACGCATTCCCTCCGCCGCTAGCTGTGATTGGTCTAATGCAACATGACGTGCCCTGTCACCAGAGGGTAGAAGTCGCTGACCTAGTCAGGCCTGTCTCATTGTTCTCAGTCCGCGAATACAGTTCTCTCTTGTGCCCGCTATTCCCTTCACAATGGCTTCCACGGGACCCCCACCACCCGAGAAAAACCTTGAATTACCTGGACCAAGCCATGATAATGTGAAGGAAATCATCGAGTTGGGGGAGAAAATTAAGCTCATCCTTGACAACGACCCAGACAAGCATCGGTATGAAGTGTCTAATAACCATCTGACAAAAGTTATGGAGCCGTATATCCAGATCTATCTCGACAACATCAATGCTAGTCGTCAACGTAGTATTGAGGACTTCCTCACCCGCAACCCACCACAACCACAGCCAGCCCAAGTCAGTGATAGTGAGGATATGGACTTTGAGAGGTTTGTCTGGGAGGCCCTGCAAACCTCTGTGAGTAATGAAAGTGATTCACCAGAGGGCAACTACTCTGCCCTCTGCCTCGGAACCAGCCGCCATCCACGTGTGCCGACCCAGCTTTTCTACTAACATAAGTGTTAAAAAACCTAATATTATTGATATTTCTCCTAATTATTAATTGTGTGTGCATACCATCATAAAATTAAGATGTTATTTTGACTACAATGTATGTATTGTGTCGGAAAAAGTGGAGTTTGGGGGTCGGCCCAGTCTCTATTTCAATTAATCCCATATGTTCTGTTATTTCATTTACGTGTTTCTCGTTTTACACAGGCCTCCACGGGTTCAATTGACCGCGTAAATGCAGACTATACTGTACAGTACAGTAAACCCTCGGTAACTCGGCATGGATATGGTCTCAGAATTCATTAGTATCACTCGGAAATGCCGAGATATATAAAACTATTTGGGAAAATCTCGGCATATCTGGCCACCTGCATCACCTACCATGCCTCTGTATCACCTATTGTGCTGCTTCATTCTTCACCTGCAGTGCTGGTAAGTGTTACTGTCTTACATTAGTAATTACATGTACACCTATATGGGTCGATAATTTTTTATTGTATTTTTGTAGGAGGGGAATAGTGCCTCGATAAATCGGAATTTGAGATAACTCGGCAAGGCCAGAGCCCCATACCTGTCGAGTTATCGAGGGTTACCTGTACAGTACTGTATTATGTTATCAGCTGTCCAAAAATTTTATATCCAAATGGTTTTCAAGGAACGTAACCCATTCAGATAGCAAGGGTTACCTGTGTACTAAACTCCAGAAAAAGGTTACTGTATGGTGATGGTGGTCATTTCTTTTGCTCATTCTCAAAATTTAGCATTGTATTTTTTAATAATGTAAAACAAAATTTGCTATGAACAATTTCCTGACACCTTATAAATGAGACATAAAATATATTGAAATACAAAATTATTTACAGTACAGTAATGAAGTGACCAATGTGAAAATAAACCTCTGTGGATGTACTCAACCAACAATACTATTGGCCTTTCTCAGTTCCAGAAGCCCATTGACAATATCCATTGGAAGATCTCTAACTCTGTAGAATTCAGATGCATCAGCAAATCGTAGCTTAGTTAGGGGATCAGTGTAATTAGCCTGCAAAAGAAAATTATGCAGTAACATTATGTACCATTTACAGTTTAGACTATTATACAGGATGTTTCGGAAACATGTTTAATATATATATATATATATATATATATATTTTTTTTTTTGGGGCAAACCAAATATCAAGTCCCATTTAAAGTAAGCCTGCATTCAGGAAGAGGACCAGAACTTTGAACATTTACTGTAAAATCCATACCAAATTGCAAATGATTGTAAATAAATTGTACTAGCAACACTGAATATTTTATTTATACTCTATAGATTGTATCACATTCCAAACCCAACTGTCATGTGTTATAACTCCAAAACTATGTGGTATTGACACTATGGTCATGAAGTCATTTATCCTTATATGTCTCAGGAATACATCTCAGAATTATGAAACAATCTGTGGAATATCCCACCCAATCAATTAGTACAGTCTGTAATTAGCTATTTTATTTAGTAAGTTTAGACCCTTATCAAGTGGTTAGTTTGAAAGCCAAATTCATCCCTTTTTATGGTTGAACCGATTGCCAGACAGCTAAGAAAACCTTCCCCTTTTAGGTCTATGAATAGTTATTAGGAACCAAACAGAAGACAGAGGTTTGACCTCAAATTAAAAATGGCAGACAGAAGCCTGTGTGTGGGGTGCTGACTGGGAGGACACATCTCTCCCTCTTGGGGTACTAAGTCCACTTCATTTGAAGCTGAGAGTATGACAGGCAGGGAGTGAGAGCACATATTCAAGCTACCTAGTATTGTAAAGGTGATCACTAAAGTGGAATGGAGCAAGATTACATGTCTTTATTACAATGACTATATTACAGGGTAAAACAGAACAGTAGATTGTTTTAAAAAGTAAATATAGAAAAATACTTACAGGTAACCCAGAAACATCTGAATATTTTTTGGCTGGAGTGAAGGCAGGAGGTGCATCAATACTGCTATCTGTGGAATATAGTCTCCAGGTTAATTATAAACCTAAAACCTACAGTACAGTATCATAAATTCACTAAAAAATTTATTTAGTTTTCCAATTACCTCTCATCCTTCATTAGTTTGTTTGAATTACAGAAAGGAAGAGCCAAATCACTTGTCTACTTTAATTAGCAGAATTCAACTGGTAAGATCGGGTAATGGGAACATTGTCTTATTACTAACCAGGTATACTGCCCTTAACCCCTGGTGGACATACCCATATGTATCCCACAACAGTTGTAGGATGGAGGGTCACACTGTTCTGGTCATATCCAGCAATTGTTGCCATATATTTCTTGTGTGCCCAATTTAAATTTCCTATGGTTATTATTTGTTGAGCATCTATGTGGAGGCTTCTGGCAACTGCCCTGAGGCAGTGTAGACCTGTCAAATCAAGTCAAAATGTATTACATTCACTCATATGCAGCAACCCACCCAGAAAGAAACTGAAGGCATAATACAGTATTTGAGGAACATACTACTAGAGTGAACAAAGCGACAGAATAAAATGGAGACCTCTGGCGTTTTCCTCTGTAAACTGCCACCCTCACCACTACCCTGCACATAGTGGCATATGGGTAGTTTTACTTAATAGCAAAATGAACCATATTGTCACTTCCATTTTGAGTAACTGGGTCTCTCTTGGGATACAGAGGTAAGGTTTCCCTATCCTTTTATGAAGCACAAGTGTGTGGCAGCAGGTTGGAGATCAGCTGTTAAAGAGCACTTACCAACACACCCGGTGCATGTTACCACTCCCTTCCACTCCACCTCTTTAATCGTCACCACCTTTCTGCTTTCTCACTCCATATTTTAAAATGTTATGTAATGTAATGTTGAAGGGTTACAACTTTGCTCAGTTAAACTTACACTAAATTTGGTGGGTAGATATCAGCTATTCAATAGTGTCTGGCAGTGCTGCGCATGCAGTGTTAACAAAGAAACCAATAAACAGATCACCTCCTCATCACAATCTCCCTCCCTGCCACCACCTCCATCATCACCATTACCACTATTATCACTGTATGATACCTGGTCAGCACGGGCGGCTGCACGACGATCGCAGTCCTCGGTCTTGGCCTGCCACTCTCTCGAGAAGGACTCAGGATGGGCAGGGACACATGACCGTAGTGGGTGGCCGTATAACATCTGTACTGGGGAGCGACCTGTGAAGTTGGGGGTGTTCCGCAATTCCAATAAACCCCGGTCAAACTTCTCACAGTCAATGTTGCCTGAGGGTGCCGTCTTGAGGGTGAGATGCTTGACAGACTTTACGGCAGCCTCGGCATGTCCATTGGACTGGGGATAATGTGGCAAGGACACCACATGATGAACTCCCCATCGCTCCATGCAGTCCCGGAAGTCGTTGCTGGTGAACTGGGGCCCGCCATCAGTCCTCAGGCGGAGAGGGACACCAACTTCCCGGAAGTAGCGACAGAACATACGTACTGTATGAGAGGCAGTAGTGTTGCCTCTGCAGGGAACGACAACAGGCCACCCTGAGAGCCGGTCGGCGATGACGAGAAAGGACTTTCCCACCACAACGAAGAAATCCACAGAGACGGACTCAAAGGGCCTCGTAGGGTTGTCGTTGTTCATGAGGGGTTCCTGCTGCTGACTAGGCTGCAGCACCTGGCATGGCTCGCAGACTTGAACGGAACTAACGATGTCGGAGTCGATGCCTGGCCAAAAAACAGCTTGTCTCACCCGGCGCTTCGTAGCTTCCACACCCCTGTGGCTGTCGTGCAGGTGGGCTAGGGTGCGGCGGCGGCGGAGGGTGGCAGGAACTACAACTCTTGCTCCATACAAGACGAGGTTGCCATCAGCATAGAGGTCGTCCCATATCTTCCAGTATGGGAGTAAAGAGCTGTGTAAGTCGTACCGGTTGGAGGGAAATCCCGAGGTCACGCAGTTCAGTAGGCGGATGTACGAAGGGTCCGCTCTTGCCACAGCTCGGAGTTCCTGAAGAGTCCTGTCGGCGTCCTGCGGTGGAGACTCTTCTGAGATGACAGCGTTCACGGTCACTACGGTCCTGAGGTGTGCAGTAGCATCAGCACATGCGATCTCGTCCTCTGGTGTGGGGTGGCTGACTGGGGCTCGTGACAAAGCATCAGGGATGCAGAGCAGCTTGCCAGCACACCAAACAGCTGTGAAGAGGTAGGGCGAGATCTTCTCCTTAAGGCGTTGGAGGCGGGGATTCTCGACCGCATCCAAGGAGTAGTGGTTCAGGATCGGGATGAGTGGCCGATGATCCGTCATGAGGTTGAAGTGTTGTAGGCCGATCAGATACAACCTACATTTGGACATGGCCCAGGCGGCGGCTAACAGCTCCAGTTCGATGGTGGCGTAGCGAGTTTCGGCGTCAGTGAGAAACCGAGAGCCACACTGAACCAGACGAAGGCGTCCATTGCCGTGGTCCTGTAGCAGAGCGTATCCAATCCCGTAGAGGCGAGAGGCATCAGTCTGGAGGACAACTGGCAGGGCCGGGTCGAAGGAAGCGAGAACAGGTGGGCTAAGGAGAGCTGTCTTGACGCGACGGAATGCCTCATCATGGTCAGCTGTCCAGGTGAATGTTCTCTTGGGGCTCATCAGGGGGCGTAGAGGCTGTGCTGCAGCGGCGATGTCGGGGGTGAACTCAGCCAACTGGTTTACCAGGCCCATGAACGAGCGGAGGTCGGTCAGGTTGGCAGGAGTTGGGAAGTCCCGGATCGCGCTGACCTTTCCAGGATCAGCCGAGATGCCCTTGCCTGAGAGGGTGTACCCACAGAAGTTCACACTAGGTGCTGCGACCACAAACTTGTCCTTGTTGAGGGTGATCCCGTACTTGCGGCACCTGGTGAGCATCTGGTGAATACGCTCAAGGTGCGTGGAGTAATCCTCGTCATATAGGAGCACGTCGTCGATGACCTTGACACAGTTCGCCACACCCTGAAGGGCCATGTCACCACGGAGGCAGAAAGCATTGCCAGTAGCCGCGAAACCCATAGGTCCTCTGCAGTGCTGAAATCGGCCGTACGGTGTGATGAACGTCGTGAGGTACTGATCTTCTTCCGCAAGTTCCATCTGCCAGTACCCACATAAGGCATCTGCTGTAGTAAAGTACCTTGCCTTCGGGTCCACACTGCGTATAGCGGCGAAGGGTGTCGGTGAAGGGTGGGTCGGGCGGGAAACTTGACTATTCAGCTTGGTGAGGTCGACGGTGATACGAACTCCAGTAATGTTCTTGGCGACTGTTACCATGGGGTGACACCAATCCGAGGGGTCGTCACCAGCAGGCTTAATGATCCCCTGGGCTACCATAGAGTCGAGTTCCTTCTTAACTTGGCTCTGGAAAGCGAAGGGTATCTGTCTCGGTGTGTGGATGGCGAAAGGTACTGCGTCATCCTTCAGGTGAATTCTCATGGGGGAGCCAGCCATTGGCTTGAGTGGAGCCGTCTTGAGGTCCTCCTTGGAAACCAGCACGTCCTTGAATTGCAGTAGGAAGAACTCCCTGGCTGCAGAAGGTGACGTATTGGGTGGGAGGGGCAGCTCCTTGCACCTGTTGACATGTTTTATTTCCAGAATTGGCTTAGGGAAGTCTGAAGATATTATGGCCAACTCTTGACAGTGGCCATAAGACAGTAGTGGCATCTGAACACCTTTGTGGACCTGAATCCTGGCAGAACATGACTGCTTACCTAGGGTGAGGGTAGCCTGAAATGTACCCAGAGCAGGTGCCATTGTAGAACCGTCTGCGGTGAGCGTTGTAGAAGTTGACGGTGGTTGCAAGCTGCTCCTAGGGATCCGCAGAATGTCGAGGTGTCTTGTGCCGATGACTGTGACGTCCGCACCTGTGTCAGGAAGCATCTGGATACGGGATGTAACGTCGCCGTATGACAGGTGAACACAGATGGGCTGAGGTGTCTTGCTGACAGGGGAAGAAGAGGATCCCACGCGACGACAGCGCTTGTTCTTCGCCGCCTGAGACTTGCAAGTAGTATTATTCTTCTTCTTTGACTGACAGCATTTGTCATAGTGTCCAATGCGGCTACAGGAGCGGCACTGAACGTTGTTGGCAGGGCACTTCAGTGTCCTAGCCCAATGACCACGACGGCCACAGTTATTGCAGGTGCTGTCAGCGGCAGGGCATTCAGAACCATGCCGACGAGCACAATACTGGCAGGAATGACCTGGCGTCGAAGTCTGAAGTGATGCTGAAGATTGATGCGAAGCTGAAGTCGGATGTGAAGCTGAAGTCGGATGTGAAGCTGAAGTCCGGTCACGTCCTTTGTTCTTCTTATATGCGGAGATGGCACACAGCTGGTTAGATGGAGCACGAATGGCAGAAGTCGCACTTCTGGTGGCTTCGTAAGAGCGGCAGGTGGTGACAACATCCTGTAGAGAAGAGGCAGTGTCGAGGGAGATAAGCTTCTGAATTAGCTCTTCGTCCCGCACGCCCATGAGGAGCTGTGTTTCCTCACAAGTCGAGTTCCCAGGACAAACGTCAACCTCCTCAGCGATGCGTCGTACGTACGTAAAAATCGGCAAACGACTCACCCTCCAGCTGCTTACAACTGAGAAGTTCTCTCCTACGGAGAGCTTCGTTGCGGAGGCCCTTGATATGCGTCTGTAAAGCATCCAAGACGTCCTTCACACTCTTGTCTGTGCCGTGGGGAATTTGCAGGGTGTGCTCCAGGATACGTTGCGTCTCTAGGGTGAGACACATCCTCATCTGGATCAGCTGTTTCTCCCTAGGCAACCTTGATGCCATTCACGGAATACCTGGAACGAAGCATCAGCTTGGAGTGGCGGTGGACTCTGAGCGAGTGCTTTCTGTAGGGGAGGCAAAGAAGTTGAAGAGGACCCTGCAGGTGCACCTGTGGACGAAGAGGCAGGTGTAGTAGCTGCTTGAAGGTTAACAGGTGCCAACAACTCGATAATGGCACTGAACCTGGCATTTTCTTGTTGACATCTGTGACTCTCTTCACGCCTTCATTTATCGTCTTCCTGTCGCCTCCTGATGTCGTCTTGTTGTCGGTTTTCTTCCAAAAACTGAATTAAATGAAGGAAGTCGACACCTGTGGCAGATTGCGGACGTGTGTAGTGGGGGCTAAGGGTGGGTGGGGCCGCTTGATCCACTTCCCGATCCACTTGGAGTCCACTTACTGCACCGACATCCGTCTGAAGTAGGGCTTGTTGGGTATCTGAAGAAAACCCAATAAATTCCTGATCTTCCATATGGCCTGGTTTATTTCTCTCACAATTACTGTAATTAATAAGTGAGCAGAAGAGCAATCGTCTTTAAATGGAAGATATCTGCGAGTGTGTGTGTGTATGTGCGCGTTCGTTCGTGCGTGTACTCGGGGCAGGCTGGCTAGCGGGCTGGCGGTTACAGCAACTCCCCTAGCTGGCTCAGACACTCAGTGCTGGTCGAGACATGAATGGGGATGGATGTCAAAACTTGAGCTCTCCCATAGCTCTTAAAAAGGCTCCCCTCTTTTGTAAAAAGTGCAGGAACACGGGGAAACACTTTAAAGACACTAAAGGGCACACACAACACTGAAAAAGCACTTCACAACACTGCACTGTAAATCCAGGAATATCGTGTTGAGGTATGCGCCAAGATCCACCCGACAAGAGGAGTTGACAAGATGGCGGCTCCGAGAGAGATTCTGTGTCCACTCCAATTCTGAATAACGTGATGTCCCAGCTAAACACTGCGCCATGTATGATACTCAGGTGGTCCTTGCACTCAGGGGTAAAGGAAACACTCTGATGTCAAGTCCGTAAGTTCTATTCCTGGTACAAACACAAAAGGAGTTAAGACAAGGGTAAACAGCGTCCTGTCTTGGAATCTCTCTGGGTATCTCTCTGCGCATGCGCGTACAGCGCGCATGTGCCCAAAGCATGAACTAACACTTGGTGACAAAAGGGAGTATGATTATAAAACATATAATACAGAGACCTGAATCAATAATGGTAAATAGTATAGTGTTACATATTACAGGCATATTCGTCTCGTATATCTACAATCACCACCTAAATCATAATTTCAGTGATGCAGAGATGGATTAGCTTCACCCGCTGTCTCACTGCCTCTCTCACTCATTCTACTACAATAGTCACCACTATTCATCAAAAGACTGTTATTCATGAAACAATATTGTTTATTTGTCATTCATTAATACTCATCCCCTTAACATATAATAATTTATATATCTCATAGGTAAAAAATAATGACATCAGGAATGTCTCTCCAATTCTCAATACACCCTGTACTGCACAGTACATGCAATGGTATATGGACCCCATAGATCACTGTTTTGGATAGCACTCTATTATCCAGGGTATGACTGAACAGGAATCCTTCACTTAGTATTAATTCGGTTTAGCGATAAAAAAAATTTGCCCCCCCATCTCACTTAATGTCAGGTCAAAATTCGGTTTTGTGATAGCTTGGGTCACAGAGAAGTGGAAAAACTGGGGAAGAGGTGACCTGTGAGATGGCATGTTCCCATTGTTACATGTAATGAAACTATAAAAGTTGTGGAAAAATCATTACAATATTTTAATGTGACTTAGAAATAAAGAAAATATAATATAAGACTAAAATAAGAAAAATGAAGAACATGGGTGTGTATGAAGTGAACGTATTTGTTAAGACAGTGGGCTGTAACTGTCACGAGTCCAGCCGTGCTCCTTGACTCCCTCCCCCAATGTGACATCATGGTATACACACAGCGCAGCAGCAGCCACACGTCTTTGAGTCAGCTGGGTTACTGCCCAGCTGAACTGTATGGTGTTGCCCAAAGGATGGTTTGAGTATGGAAAGAGCCAATTTTTTTACATAAAATATGTGCAATTATTTATTTTATGGTACACTATGTATCAAATTTATTGTTTATCATAGCAATTTACTTTCATTTGTGATGAATGCAATTTGAAATTTGTTTGAATTAGGCTATAGAAGTTTGGTGTTAGTAAATCAATCATTTAACCTCAAAACCGTTTATAACAAACATTTATTATTATTACCATGCTTTGCTGTTATCCCTTGTTTAATGATAATTTCACTTAATGTTAGGTTTTACAGGAATGCAACTCTATCGTTAAACGAGGGATACATGAAGCCTTACAGCATGTGCAATAGCTCCAAAAGTACCTTGACAATAGGTCCAATAAATTTTAATATGAACACCGCAACTCCTGTTGTCTCGGTAGGGTTGTCAAAATCCTTCGTCAGTTGTATCATATTGTCTCACAGAAAATCATAAAGTTACTTTCTGGAGCGAGTGTACCTATAGAATTTAAAGTAGAAAATAACACAAATGAGCTTTGACCTTAACATCTTCACTTGCTACTCATATCTTTTGGTATTTTGCTCAGCAGTTGATCTCAACACTGTTTAATGGACTTCTCCAATATTTTCTTGTCATATTACATCATCCATAACTAAGAATCATTGTCACCCAGAAGTACCCTTTATATAAAATTACTAGTGTACAGTACAGTACTTCAATTAGATAATCTTCTGAAGGTTACAACTATACATGAATACAGTATATCAAACTAGGGGAGTTTAAATACAGACTGCAGAGTAAACTTAAAGGAGGTGCAATGAATGTGACTTACAATGTACAGAGTCATCTGGCCAGGTGTAAGTTCGCTCAAGGGATATGATTTGCTTCAGGTTTCTCCATCCCCTCTTTTTACTGCTGCGGAAGGCAGTATGCTGGAAAGTGCAGAAAAAAATATATATTCTGTACCACAACAATGCAAAGGTCCATTTTTTTTAGGAAAACAAACAAAACTATCCACCTATCGATACCATTTTCCATTTTTAAAGCTGAATGTTGACCAAGCAGCATGCATACTGATTTAGAAAACACAATAAAACATTTTCAATTTGCTTTTACTGAAAAATACAAAAATGTGTGTTCCTTTGCCAACTACCAAAGGTCATCTGTGAGTCATTCCACTGGAGAACAGTATGGGCCTTAGTAAGGGTGTTCATCTCAAAATATCTGGATGGTCCTTTAGCTAAAATGGGTTTCATGGGTCTAGGGACCCTTTGGTGTGCTTTACCCTGGTTCCACCAAGTGGGCAGGGCTTGACGTACAATAGTAGAGGGAAATTGTTGGGTAAAAACTGACAAAACAAAACCTAACCAAAGAAACCATAAGGACCTGACCTAACCTTCTGACATGTTTTTTTTTTGCAAAGTACAGATATAGGAAATGTTAGTGGGTGGTAAAGGTGGAGCAGATGTATAACACCAGAAGTTGTTTGATATCATTAATTTTTTTCCACAGATGTTCTTTGGATGATAGTAAGTAATATAAATGCTATAACATTGAAAATAACCTAATAAAACCTGACCTAACCAAAGAAACCTTCCTAATCTTACCTATCATCCTAGCCCCTTGCATTATTAAGCAAAAAAGGACTTACTTTGATATCTAGTACAGTGTACACTGGTTTGGTTTGGTTAAGTTAAATTTCAACGATGATTTGAAAGTTGAAATTGTTATGCGAATATAGTTTTGGGGGTGAATTTAGGTGTGTTTTAATCAAATCTGACCTTCTTTTTTGGGTGGTCAGATTTGAATAAAACAATAAAATAAAAAAATAATTTATTCTCAACAATTTCAACGGTACATTTATAATTTTACACCGTTTTTTTTTTCGCTGTTATTAATATGTATTTCGTAATGTTTAGACTATTCTAAGACATTTTGCTTCTATGATATTTCCACCGGAAATTAAGGATAACCAAGATATTAATTTTTCAAGATTATTACTTTTGCTCATTCACGTGTCGCTATGTCTTGTTTACATCTGGCAGAGGAGGTCTGACACCCACTCACGCATCGCTCCTGACCTCCTTCTTCACTTCTTAAGTGTGTCTGATCCCCTGCTCACGCATATCTCCAGGCCTCTGACTGGGGGTTAAGTTTTCTTGTTTGGCTGGTTATATAATTTGTTATTTATTAAAAAAATAAATCCAATTTTTTCCATTATGATTGTTGGGTGGGGGGTTATCTACAAAACACATGACTTCTGGTGGAAATGAATATAAAATTCGTTCGAAACTCGTCAAAAAACATCGGAAAAACCTATTTTTAATATAAAAATAAAGACCGGTGTGATACTATAAAATGACCAGTTCAACTTCCAACTCACTGTTGAAACCCAACCCAACCTAACCACACCAAACCTACCTTAGCCAAATATACCTAACCTAACCTACCTAACCAAATACGAAAATCTTGCCAAAGCCATAAGAAGAATATTAACCTTACTATCAACCAAAGAACATCTGAGGAAAAATTAACAAAATCGAACGGCTCCTAGTGTTAGCTCCAATATCACCCAGTAGGCTAAGTAAAATAAATTTCATATCATTGTCCAAAAGTGGTATGTATGCAATCCTCTCTATCCTCTAAACTTCATATAAACCATCTATCTAATGTACTGTATACCCTTTTTTCATTCCATATTACCTGAAACTCAGGATTTTTGAATACATGTACTGGCACTTTCTTTTCCTCTTTTTCTTCGATCACCTCTTCCGTTGTAACCATTTTATTACTTTTGTTTATTTCATGTGCTGATTAACACTAGTATCCCCGAAGCCTCTCCTTCGCTCTTGTGTAAAGTAAAAATATGTCAAGTTGTTATTATTATTGTCAACTTGCTTATTATTTCTTGTCAAGTGTCAACAATAAACAGAGTGGGTGCAGGGTGGTGTCGTCTAGCCAACAGTGTAGCAAACTCTGACACCGAATGATCCAGCTGGCAAACACCTTTACGTTACCCACTAGTGACTAGTATACTCTTAATTTTCTTTGTCATTTCACCGTTTACCAACTTACCATCCAGTCGACTGGTTGGCCTGCTCTTTGTTATGAATTTTATTATCCAGTTTTAGTGAGGCAGGAAACTGAAGTACCCAGGGAAAACCTTGTAGCGGCGGTAGGGCTGTAGTGGATTCCTCCCCTACAAACGCCGTGTGTCGCAGACTAGCCGACCCCCCGCGAATTACAGATTGCCCACGAGGTGGCTAGTTTATTGTCGAGGTCAAATAACCAGCGACGCCGAACACAGCGGAGGCCTACCATCAAGCCACGCCTACCCCCGCTATATAAGACCTCACCTGGCCGTCATCGACCTCTTTTCTACTTACCGCCACCAGCAAGCAACATCTCTCAACAGCTCCACACCACACTCTCCCTCTTTTTACTTTTTTACTTTTATCCTCTCCGCCACTAATCGGCTTGTTAGCCGCTTGGGCGATTGGTCACGTCTCTTTTCATTTATATTCTTCACCAAAAGATCGGCTCGCTAGTCGCCCGGGCGATCGGTCACGTCTCTGTCACGCACTGTTGGCAAATACTGGGCATGCACCAGCTCCTGAAAGTACCTGAACCCGCTCCAGTGTTGGTCAAGTCTTGTCTTGAAAGAGCTCACACTCGGTGCCGTCACAACACTCTCTGGTAGATTGTTCCAAGAGTTTACAACCCTTACTCCAAAAAAGTTTGCCCTCGCGGTTTTCTGGACTTGCAGCTTCTTCAATCTTGAGCTGTGACCCCTTGTGGGGCGAGCGTCCTCCAACTCCAAGTAAGGACACTCAACTGAGTAGTGCCCCCTGAGATGCTTATGCACCTCAACTAGGTCCCCCCTTGCCCGTCTGTAGTATAAGCTAGGCAAGTTCCGGCGCTCCAATCTCTCAGGGTAGCTGAGGTGCCGAAGTGCAGGCACCAGTCTGGTGGCCCTCCTTTGAACATTTTCAACCAACTGACAGTCCCTAGCATATCTCGGGGACCAGATGGGGGTGACAGTACTCCAGATGGGGAAGCACTTCACTCCTGAAGATCGTTACGAGGGACGGACCGTCTAGATATCTGAACGACCTTATAAGACCCAATAATTTATTTGCCTGATTTACCTTCTCACAATTGCCCGAGAACTTCAGCTCATTGTCAACATACACACCTAGGTCCTTCTCACACACAGTCTCAACTAGTGCAGTTTCTTCATCCCGTTGGGACATATGATACGCCTCCTTACCGTTGGTACGCCCCAGGTGCATCCTCTTACACTTCGTGACATTGAATCTCAGCAGCCATTTCTCAGAAAGCTCCTCGCCCTACAGGAACTCTGAGCAAGCTTCGCCCGACCTAGTATCTCTTTAACACTGTGCCGTGCAACAATATATATACGGGAAACACATTGTGACTTTCTATTCTACCTCAATCCTGAGTGTCGGATATATTACATGTACGTACGTTGTGAGGCCAAATAAGAGACCCTGACAACCTGCCACAACAGTACGCTACAGGGCAACCCAAGCCTTGGGACTACTTAACACTATAACGCGGTTTTTCTCAGCTGGGGGAAAAAAAGCGCTATAGTCCACTGACTCCACTACACATATCTCATGAGGATTAACCCATCATCACTCATCAGTGGAGAAAAGGATAAAGGTAAAAGTAAAAGTGACCGACCACCCAAGCGGTTAACGCAATCTGTAGCGAAGAGGATAAAGCAAAACAGTAAAAGTATATACCTGTCAGCAATGCGTGACATTACAGAGAACTGATGGACCGTCCGTCGATTGCTAGGTCCTAATAAGGTGATTAGTATTGAAAAGGATTAAAGTAATAAAAACAAACTGACTGAACTGCTAAGCTGACAAGAGGCGAGGGTATAAAATGGGTTAGGGTCACCTATTTGTATTTACTACAGTATACCATGCATTTTAACTTTATCTATGATTACCAAAAAAAGATATGCAGGGTTTAAAATGGTTACATCTCATTACTTTAGTATGTTATTCCGTCACACAAATATTGCACTACAAGTCAATATTTTACACTAATTTAGAATAACTTTATTGCAATTTACAAATTGCAGGCTAATAGATTTGGTAACGGGTTCGGGTGCATTCCGGAGCCGGTGCATGCCCGGTGCCTGCCAACAGTGCGTAACAGAGAGCCAGTACATTACCAATACTTGCCAACAGTGCGTGACAGAGACGTGACCGATTGCCCAAGCGGCTAACGGGCCGATCAGTGATGAAGAGGATAAAAGTAAAGTAAAAAAGTTTCAATTTATAAAGTGGGTGATGTAAACGTTTAATATGGTATTAAATCAACAAAATATAGACATGCAAAAAAAAACAGATTGATTTTCCAGCTCCAGCTTTTTGTACACAAATCAGTTAGTACACTGTACGTATATAATTCGGGGCTCCTCTCTGGTACTTCTTCCGGTGGAGCGGACCAGAAGTTCCCCGGACTAGACGTAACCGAAACGATAACTGCGCATGCGCGGTTGACGTTACATTCACAAACAGTTGTGCTGTGGCGAAAGATAAGTGGATATGGCGACTCTGACAAGGCAGGAAATGCAGAGTGAGTACATGGCGTATGTTAAGTACTACCTAAAAAAAAACACCCATCGGCTAGGCATTGACTATCGTGTAAAGAAGGCAGTGGTGAAGGCTACGAGCAGTAATCAGTACAGAATTGATGGTTAGTATATTGTAGTGGACGTCTCCCCTACAACTGCGTATCCGCATTCCAATGAGACAGTATCCTAGCAACCAAACGAGCGGCCCAGGGGGGGGCGTCACCAGATGCCACAGTATCCTAGCAACCAGCCACCTGCTACGTCTTCCCTAGCAACGGAGTCAAGAAACCGGCGAGTTCCCACGGGTTTACTTCCGGCTGCTGTGTATATAAGCTCTGTCTCTCCATTAAGATTCATTCTGGCCTCGGTTCCTGAACACACAACACCTCCTCGCCGCTGCCTGGCGGCCCTCGCTTCTCCTCCGCCTGCCTGGCGGTCCTCGCTCCCGTCGGCGAGCATGGCGACCCACCAGCTGTCCTTCTCTGAGCGTCCTCACCAACCAGCTCTCTTATTCTACTCTACGTTCCTGAACACGCAACACCTCCTCCAAGCAAGCTCCTCCCTGTCCAGCTCTCATTCAACCTGGAGGCCAGCAACAGGCACCATCTCCTCTAACGAAGCTCCTGCACATCTACCTCCTTCAACACGCTACTCACCGAACATGTCTACTGAGCAGCTCCTCACCACACGGCATCTCCAGCACCAGACTGTCTTTCATATAATTTATATTATATAAGAAAACCACCACCTAGAGTTTCCATCAATCCTGAGTGCTAGACAACATAATATCACAAAACCCTACAATATCATTAAGAAAATTTGAGTACCAAATTCAGGAAGTAGATTATCGACTTTTGGGGAAATATTAGCCTACCTAATTTTCCGAAGTAGATTATCATAGAAAACGGGAAATTTGTATCATAGAAAATGGGAAATATCTACTTTTCGGGAAAGTTGGTTATCTACTTATCATAGAAAACGGGAACTTTGTATCATAGAAAATGGGAAATATCTACTTTCTGGGAAAGTTGGTTATCTACTTTCCCGAAAGTAGATTATCTACTTTTCGGGAAAGTAGATTATCGACTTTTAGGGGAAGTAGATTATCGACTTTTGGGGGAAATATTACCTAATTTTACGAAGTAGATTATCATAGAAAACGGGAAATTTGTATCATAGAAAACGGGAAATATCTACTTTTCGGGAATGTTGGTTATCTACTTTCCCGAAAAGTCCAGTGGATAAGCGTTTTACCTGCCACTTATTGAGCCCCGAGTTGAGTCCCGGCATTTCTCTTCTTTTCCTTTTTTTTCTGTTTTTAGTTTTTTCGTTATGGGACACTATTTTCGCTGTATCATACCCCAGACACACCCCAGACCAGCTGAAAGTGACGACATAAACACACACCAGACCAACTGAAAGTGACGACATAAACACACACCAGACCAGCTGAAAGTGACGACATAAACACACCCCAGACCAGCTGATAGTGACGACATAAACACACACCAGACCAGCTGAAAGTGACGACACACCAGACCAGCTGATAGTGACGACATAAACACACACCAGACCAGCTGATAGTGACGACATAAACACACACCAGACCAGCTGATAGTGACGACATAAGCACACACCAGACCAGCTGATAGTGACGACATAAACACACACCAGACCAGCTGATAGTGACGACATAAACACACACCAGACCAGCTGATAGTGACGACATAAACACACACCAGACCAGCTGATAGTGACGACGTAAACACCCACCAGACCAGCTGTTGTGCCCTATTTGTTTATAAATCTGTCAATCACTTGATTGACAGTAATTATTTCCAGTTCCGGAATAATCAGAGATACAACTTAAGGCACCCACAGCTACTAAGACCACCCCTCATGCGCTCTTCTCAGTCCCAGGCCTCCATAAAATATCATGGTAAAGATGTGGAACAACTTAACCCCACCAATCCGAGCAAAGACTACGCCCCCTTCCTGTAATCATATCTTAAAAAAATTTCTTTTATCTTAGTATTAATATTTTTGTAACACTAACATTATACTCTTACTTTTATTGTATCACCAAAACTATTATAATTGTCACATGGATATAGAGAAATTATCATTGCAATAATTATATATTTGCCGTCAAGACATGATCCTGACTGTTTCTGTCCTCTTGTTTCACCTTAATACAAACTATGTTGTACTGCTTTCCTCATTTATCATATTAATGTATATTAACTCCACTGTAAAATATGCATATACCTAAAAGATAAATGTAAAAAACAAATAAAAGAAAATAAATAAAATAAATTACAGTGATAATCGTGGTAACATTCTCATATGTTCTTACTAACACCATGTTATATAATACTT